CACACACACACACACACACGCAGCTGAAATGCGCGGAATGCAGTTCCCTGGAAAAAGAAATTTTTGAAATTAACAGATATTTTCGTCTTTTTTTTTTTCAGATTTGCTCGAAACATAACGGCTGATCAGATTAGTGTACAGATTCTCAGTGGAAAAGGGGAGCTGAAAAATATCGAGCTCAACGAAGTGGTTTTAAGTGAGGTAGGCGCGCGTTTTGTTTTACCGCATTTATTTTTGATCGCTGTCCCTCAGCTCCATTCGATTACTGTCTGTTTGAGCAGAAAGCTAAAGCATGTTTATGTAAATAAACCGGGTAAAAGCTGAGGGGCTCGTTTTTTTGTGTATTATCAAATTTTTGTGTTGTAAGAAGCTGTTGAGGGCTACTTTTTCCTCTTTTTTTTGCATACCTCACGTGAGGTCGTTCCTCGTTTTTCTCTGAAGGCTGCTACGTGTTTTTTTTTTCAGGTGCTCGAACTACCCACATGGCTTCGAATAAAACGAGCGGTGTGTAATAAAATTGCTGTGAAAGTGCCATGGACACGACTGAAATCACAGCCAGTTCAGCTTGTAATTTTTTTGTCTTCTCGTGCCATATTTTGCTGAACGGAAGTCGCGTGTGTTTAAGCATGACGAAATGGATAGCCAGCTTGCAAGGCGCCTTTTCAATAATTGTATAAGCTATCGCGGCTGTACCAGTTTAATATTTCAGACTAGTCTTATGCCCTGTGTGTGTGTAAGACGCCTAGTCATATATACTACTTATAAATACATGGAATATTAAAAGGTAACACAAAAAAAGGTGGTGAGGTTCTACGCAGCCGAAGCTCCCCAAAGCAGAACTGAGAGAAACTAATAGGTTAAGAAGTACTTCATGAGTTGTGGCGATCCCGGCGATGGGGATGATTGCTTTTATACCCCAGGGATTAGAGATTACTAAGATAGCGTAAGTTTAACGGGGGTGATGTGTCCAAAGTTTGAAACAGGGGCAGGGGCATTGCGCCATAGTAACGCAGTTGTTCTTTAACCTATTTCTAACAAAAACCATCAATCATTATTTGATCTATTATATGACAAAGCTTACTGATTTCCGTACATTTACGCTTGATTTTGGTATAGCTATTCGAAGCACTTAGGTGCATCTCAGAACCAGTCCTGCAGAACTGGCCATTTTCGCTAACTTTGGGATTTCCGTCTCTTTTTTGGTCGCCAGCACGTTTAATTTCTTTTTCGTTGTTTTCAGTTCATTGATGAAATACGGGTTGAAGTTGAACTGACTTCTGAAGAAGTTGTCAGCAGTGGTTCCAGTCCTTTGAGGTACTTTTTTGCATAAAAGCCATTGGAGACATTTTTTGTGAATAACCAACCTGTCGTTTCGGCGTTGATTATTTTACTTCGAAAGTATTAGTTCTGTTTCCATCCTTTACAAATTCAAGTGCGCAAGCAGCGCAGTTTTTCTTCCCTGTACTTAGCCAATTTTTTTGTTTTTCAGTGCGTTTGCGGATTCAGCTTACGGATTTGCGAATCGGGTCGCCGAAGGCATGTCACTCTATGTCAATTCAGTGGAAATCGCTTTTGATTCGGGAGTTTTCCGGGGTTCCTTGACGGTAAGTCGTCGTACAATGGCTTTCACTGGATGAGAAAAACAGCTCGTGAAATTAGCAGGCCCAGAGATACGCTTTTTGCAGCTTTCGAGATTGGCTGTAGAAAGTAGGAGCCCCGGTTGGCAACCGATCAGCGACTTGCGATACAGTCGAATCATCGATCCGGCAACTTGCAAATTACTTATGTTCAAAACGGTATCTTTAAAAATTTTTGCAAAAATCTTCATAATGTCTTTGCTCCAAGACGAGATTTGTATCAAAGTCATGTCGGGTGCTTATTAGCATCCTGTGTGACCTGCAAATTGCTTATGAGAATTGCCAGTTTAGATGTTTTTGCCAGGTCACATGGCAATTATTGCGTATTGAAGCCTCGGCGCAAGCTCAGCAACCGTCACGGAACGTGATAAATGCACCGCTGCGACTAATCACAAGCAGCGGCAAGAGCCGTATCACCGTGAAAAAATCCACTGCCGGTAAAAATGAATTACTAATTTTTTACGTATACCCGTGTTTACGAGCATACACCAGTTCTTCGCCCCCGCGCCGTTGTTGTTCATTTCGTTCTGTTCAGACCCTCACCCCTTTTTCGGACTTTTAGCGTTTTTACGAATACTATTCACGAGATATCAGTGGTTTTTGTTTCGCGCACTGAAAGAGCAGCACGCAAAATCGGTTTACTAACTTCTTGTTGAAATAAATCATGTTTTGAGCGATTTTCCTTTTAGTGTTGTTTCTTAGTTAAGGTGCAAAAGCAAGCCGTGTACATTAAACACCGAATTGTCTGAAATTTGTAAGATATCGAAAATTTTCAAATAAAAAAGTGTTTTTGTGTGTAAAATGAATGTATGGCTCTAAATGTCTTTCAGATGGCAGTGTTCTTGGTGGTCGCATCCAGATAATACTGGATGATATCTTGTGGATTGCTACTTTGCCTCAAGTGCGCTCAGCAATTGCATTCTATGATCATATCATGAAAATCGTGAAATTAGCTCCGGAAAAGCCGCCAGTTGTGCCCTTACAGCAGGTACCTCTTCTCTAACAGTAATTCGATTTCGCCGTGAATTTGCAGCATTTTTCGGTGTTATCTTCATCCACTTAGCCGAGAGGGAAATTTGAGCGGATAAGTTGAAAAAAAATGCGGTGATTTCTGAATAATTTTCGCCTGCACTAGCGCAGTACTTTCATTTATTGCAGCAAAATGAAACAAAACAACTACTATCACCGCCCACATGCAAAGCCTCAAATCCAGTTTCCAGTGCCTTTCGAAATTTCGATTTTGAGCAAACTTCATATCATGTATATGTTGGCAAAATAGATCTTCATCTGTGCGATGATAACTTGTCTTCGGAAGGTTCTTTTTTTTTTGAAATTAATATAATCAGCATTTCATAATCTCTTGTCGATAACACAGTTTTCAAAAGTTTTTTTTTTTCAAAAAGTTTTCAGTTTTTTTTTTTCAAAAGTTTTTTCAATTTTTCCAAAAATTTTCAGCCTTGTTGTTGCTCACCAGCTCCCCCCAGTCTCCTTCATGCTCCCTCCTCACGTCGACTTTATTTTGTGCAATTTTTTTTTTTTTTTGTATGAATAGCCTAAGCAGTGCAATTGGGTTGGCTTGAACAAGCATTTTTATTTAGATTATCCGAAGGACTGGGACATTGTGTGTGGTGCGCTGCAGGTCACTCTAGTCCGGCTCACAGTCGATTTCTATCCAGCCAACAGTGCCATATCGGATCGCAACGAGTGGGTGCGGTACGATAATGAAAATCAGTGTGCTGCATGGGTGCACAAAGTATTGCAGGCGCATCTACTCACAATTTGCTCGGGACTAGGTTTGTTTTTTTACGCAACTGCATTGCATTATCAGTCAGTAAAATTGAAGAATAGAAGGATATTACTTGAATGTCATGTGTATGAAGACATTTTATGACGCAGTCTCTGTGTGTTTCATCCCTTAGCTGTATACACAGACCGAACAGTGTATGCGGGTAGGACTGGGAATCATCAGTACAGCCTCCTTCCCGCCATGTTTTGAATAGTAATGTAACTGGTTTGCAAGACGGATGAGAGGAAGAAGTAGATATAAGTGAAGGAGCAAATAAAGTGAGAAAGAAAGGGAAGAAGGGGAGTCAAAACACGATACGGACAATCATTATATCTAATTATTAGGAAGAGCCGTTTATGAGAATAGACTGTTGACTAGACGTTTGATTTCTGAATCATCAGGGAGGATGAATTTGCTTAGTACTGATCGGTTCCTGAACCAAAATCTGAGAACGGAGCGTTCTAGTCTTGAAAATTGTGAATTTTCACACATCAGGCCTGTTGATGATGATGCATTCTGAACTCCAGCCATTCGGCAATCATTGTAAGCTGACTGAAACCCACAGTTCTTCCTTATCGCAGTGATACGTCGGTGCTTGCTGAGTCTGTATCGGAGAGTTTCTTACTTTAAATGGCTTGTAAAACTGATGAGTTTTTATTACTACTACAGATGACAAATCGCAGAGTCGCTTAACGGGAATGTGGCGGAATTTAATGTCCCAGAACTGGGTGGTACGTATGCACGATGTTGTTGTGCAATGTGTCACTGATATGGATTCCAAAAAAGATGCGTTGTTTAATTTGTTCATGTCGGATCGCCGATCGAAAGTTTCGATGCCAGGCGACAAGCCTCTTTTCCATCTCGAACTTGCATCGTTCTATCATCCGGTGCATAAAGATTTTCCAGGTATGTTCAGTGCTCTGAAAAGCATTCAATCTCTTGTGGTTTTAAAAAATTGCAACCAGCACCTTTTTATTCCCTCCTTCCCCCTCCCTCCCCCACCCATTGGGAGGCAATATTTTTGATTATGAAAGAGATGTCAACAAATGCCTGTTTATTGAAAAAAACACAAAAATATTGCATGCTTTCTGTGTTTTGCAGTGCCCTCAAGCATAACACATTTATTGCTTGGCCCCTTCTTTTTTCTTGTGGATCAACGAACCATCCGATGGGTGTTGTTCGTGATCAACGACATCAAATATGCACTGGCAAGTTTTGTTTTCTCACAATATCCAGTTCCCCAGGTGTTATCAAGTATCGGAAAGAGTAGCATTACTGCTGACAAAGTGCAGCGACATAATAAATGAAACAAAATGGCTGAGTTTAACGATTTTCTAATTGTATTTGCTGAGAGATGAGGAAAACATGGTATAATTTGATGTAATTTGACGCAGCCGCATCATTCGAAAAGTCTTCGTCCCATTTTTTTAATCAAGTGACGCCGTTATTATGCGTGGGCATCATAATTTTACTGGTTATTTAAATTCATTTAAATTGTTAGATTGTTATTGTTTAAATTGTCACATTGCTTGTTTTGATATTACATGAATACGGTTCTCTCTGTACAATGTGGACTTTGGCGGCTAGTTTGTGCATGCAATATTCCTCTTTTTTTTTTCAGAAAATCTCCGATGCGTCGTTTGAAATCGAGAAAATTCCAAGGACATTTTTACGCGTCGAACTACTGATGCCAAAGGTAATTGGGTGAAGCATTGCTGTAAAAGGAACGTTTGTGGCGTAATTGCTGAACTTAACGGTTTTCTAACTGTATTTGCTGAGAGATGAGGAAAACATAATGTAATTGCTAAATTTGATGAAGGCACATCATTCAAAAAATATTCGATTTGTTATTTTCACAAGTTATCGCCAAGCAGTTAGTGCCTTTCATCGGCTGGCCTATAGCGCCAAACAAACATCCATAGTTTACGTTTTTCGAAAAATTTTTCAAAAATTTCCAAAACACTTAGCGCTATTTAATTTCCTGTTGCCTTTGCCTTACTTAAGCATTTCCCAGTGAACGTGTTAGCTGTCAATTTGCTGAGAATTTTTTTTTTTTCAGATAATACTGCCATTCAAAGAGTCGGACTCGTTGGACGCACGTCTGCCACAGAGACTTGTGCTCAGTATGAGTACCGTATTGTTAACAAACTGCGAAACATTTTGCAGCGATGAATCAAATTCATTTTTCAAATCCCTCTCACCGAACATAATTGATTTTATCGACAGGACGAATCTTTTGACTGGAAAAGAGAAATTCAAGGAATTCATTTTCCAGCTCAATCAAAATTCCTACTTTGATGTTGACGAAGGTACCCCATTTGCGTCGCTTTGAGTTAGAAAAAAAAAACGCTTCTCTGCTTCGACCATCCCGTTTTTCCATTGCCTCAGAGCATTTCAGGAGAACGATTTTGGATAAAAACTTCACCTGTATGGATTGATACTGATTTTGGCAGCGGAACACCAAGCACAGTACTTCTGGCTGATGTTGCTTTCCATGCTCTCGTGAGCGCCAAAACGGATAAAGTTCGTTGTTTAAATCGTAAAGTTGAACTGTAAGCTGGGTTTTTTTTCCCATTTGTCCACGGAAACTGGGTTTTTCATCTAGATATTATTTTTTCCCGATTTTTGCGAAAAGAGTTCAGCCAGAAAAAAAATTTCGATCTATCTTTTATTTCTTCTAATTGCCATTTAAAATAATCAGAGAAATGAAAGGAGTGATGAATTTAACTGCTTGCAATCGTTCTTTGTCCCCCAGGTGAAAACTTTACCAGTTACTCCTATGGGATGCAATGAAATTTAAGGTGAACATAGCGCTACAGCCGTTGTGGAGGATTCGAGCAGCCGTTAATCATTATCAATTTGTTGCCATAGTGCGATTGATAAGCCGAATATCGATGTTTGTGGACCAGCTTGTTGCTGATGGAAAATTTTTTTCAGTCAATCGTAGCAACGGTTGTGGCGTTGCAATTGCATTCATTTGCTTCGTTGACGAGGTATTTTTTTTTTATGGTTAACTTTTAACAGTGTTGTTGTTCTCGTATCGCCTTTAATGAAACGAATCGATAAATTCTCGAAAATATTCCAATGATAAAGAATCCTAAAGTGTTCGCTGTGATTTTTAGGTCGAACTTAATTTCATTTTACCTGCCGATCCTTTGCCAACTCCATACGATCTTCCGCAGGCCGCATCGCTCCGCTCTGCCACGCCATCATCAATTGGTTAGTTTTTCAGTTAACAAATTATGCATGGCTTTTTCTATTTTTTTCTAAATTTTAGCTGCATTTAGAAGAATGTGGCTTTTTTTTTCTTTGATTCAGCTGTGCTCTTCTCGAATTTTACAGCAAGCTATTCGATAAAAATTTGTTTCCGGAACATATGAGTTTTGATAGCTGCTGTGCGGCAAAGTGTGTGTATGTGTGTGTATCTGTGTAATGGTCACATAATTTGCTGTTCGTTGCATTATTTCAATGAACAGATCATAATGAAAGAACACATTAAAGCATAGAATTGAAAGAGAACTTCTGAGAGCATTTGCTCGTGGCAAATTTTTATATCAGCACATTGCGTGTGAGGTTATTGTTGCTTGTGGTCCTGTGTTTGTACCGAATCCACATGACTGTCAGATATAAATTCCACTTTTTCTTCTTTGCCTTTCGCTTCTGTACGTATATAGGGCGGTAGCTGTGCTCGGATTTTTTCCAAATATCTACGTCGTTGCTGCATTCGAGATGGCGTGGGCCGTCCAGCCTTTAAAATATCAGTAAGATAAAACATTTAAAATAAAAATGTCATTGGCTCAGATCTTGAAGTAATTCAGTTGTTCGAATTTACATTTTATGTAAATTCCACCCTTCCCGTTGACCTTATCTGTTACATGTTTTGTAAACTTCGATTTGTTTAAACAAAAGCAAAAATCTTCAAAAATCTTGGGTGGGATAGATTTTCATAAAGAAAAAGAATATTTTTTTTTTTTTGGGATTTCTTTGCTTCTAATTACAGCCTGTTTTATGAAATCGTTTTTCAGAAATAGCTCATTACTGAATTTACGTATCTGCTTAATAGGAAATTTTATAACAAAAGGAC